GTCCCCCGCTCGGGACAGTGCCCCACGCCCGGGACTGTGCCGAGAGTTTATCTGGGCTCAGAGCGCCTCGTACATCACGGAACTTTGTTCTCGAGGGATGTTATCTTTGGATCGGTGTCCGTGGAGCGCTGCGTGCTTTGAGATTGACGGAAGCGAGAGTGATGTGCGGGGCCCGACGTAACTTCTGGGGCCTGGGAGTTCTCTGGCCAAGGAGCTGCGCCCCTGGGGCGCGCCCACCTTGTCCAGCGGCTGGGGTCAGGCTGGAGTGCGGGGGTTGAGAGAGAGCAGCTCGTGGAGGCACCTGGTTTCCCATGTTTTCCCTCAGCAGCGGTTTGGTGCCAGCGTCTCAGCCCTGGAAGCTCCTCGGCTGGAAAGCGGTAGCCGTGTCGCTTATTGTCACTCAGTGAGGTGTTGCAGTTGAGAACTACTCAGCGCAGAGACCGGCCCACCGTGGTAGTAGGAGTCCGCCAAGTATCGCACGCAGGAAGCAAGCTTCCTGGGGCAGAGACTGGTGCTGTGGCCGGGTCTCCGCCGTTGGAGCCTGGGTATTGCTAGGCCCTTAGGAGTGTTCCTTGAATGTGATAATTAAGTGCTTTGGAGCTCCCCTCGGAACTTGTGTTTTTATAAGTAAGTTTGTGGTGGGGAATCAGGATCATGGCAGCTGGAAGGTCCGGGGTAATTTTTATTTCTACCTGTTTCTTGTGTTCCCCCTCCTCCATTGTGGAAAAAACCCTGACCTTTTAGGGCAAAGAAAATGTTACTATATATTATATACATATAATATATAATGTTGTAATATACACATACAGATTTATTGTCTTTATACCGATGCAGTTGAAAGTATGATTCTTGGGCGCCTGGGTGGCTCAGATGGTTAAGCGTCTGCCTTCGGCTCAGGTCATGATCCCAGCGTCCTGGGATCGAGCCCCGCATCGGGCTCTCTGCTCCTTGGGAGCCTGCTTCTCCCTCTGTCTCTCATGAATAAATAAATAAAAATCTTTAAAAAAAAAAAAAAAGAAAGTATGATTCTTAATACTATTTTTTTATGGAGGAAGGGGCCCATGAAGGCCGAAGTGTCCAGGGCTGTTGTCTGTGAGCTCTGTCGGGTCTCTCTGTGTAAAGGCAGGCTGGGGGGCACAGTGGTGTGCCACTCCAAATGCCTCAGCCAGGGCTCTCACCGCAGACCAGACACCTCTCTGTCTTTGTCATCCTTGTGGAGTGCTATCTCCTCCCCGGTGTTTACTTGGTGGCCAAGGCCCTGGGCCCATGCTCAACCTGGAGTCACTCCAGTGATGCTTCTCTGGACTCCCTTTGTACAGCTGGTTGCTCGCTTCTTCTGATGGTTCTCTGGGCAGCAGGGTGACTGTTTGTGGGGTGGCCTTAGTAGGAATGGAAGCCAGAAAAAGGCCTACCTTTGGAGGGAGTATTAAATGGGCTCTTGAGCCATGGAACCAATGGATTTATGGCTTCTTGTGATAAAATTCTTTAGAAAACGTGTCTGTATCTGTAGAGAGGTGAGACATTCTGTTCTGGCTCTTGGGTCCCAGTTTTGCCTGTCAGTCCCTCAGGTGGACCTTGAGGGACCAGGCCACACATCATGCTTGTCTTCGTTGGGGTGCCTCTGGTTCCAGGTCCAGCATCTGCCTGGATGATAGAGGTGACTAATGTCCCCAGCTCCCTTTCCTTTGCTGTCTGTGTATCCTGCCAACTGGCCAGCAACAATTCAGAAAGAGTTTTCAAGTGCTCACTGTCTGCCTACCACTAGGGATGCTCAAATGAACTGAATAAACCCCTTTCTCTAGGAGTGCCCTTTAAGTATGGAAGCAGAAGCTGGATGTAAATCAGGTCATCAAGTATGGGGGCTTAGAGGCAGGCAGCAGCGGTGGCCGGCCAGTCATTTGTACCCGTGAAGCAGGGGAGGGCTTCACAGGAGACCTCACATTTAGGTCTGAGTTGGGGCAGGGAGGTGGCTCTGGTTGAGGGAGCAAAGTTATCCTTTGCATTCCATGACTTTCCAGATCAGAACTTTGCAGTGACTCCTGGTGGTATGTTGAGTTGTTCTGCCCCCGGGGGGCTCCAGCTGGTACCCTGACTTTGGCTGAGCAGCAAGGGTAGGTC